ATAAGTTATCAGCGAAAAGAACCAACACTTTTTTAAGCAAGACATTAGAAAATAAGCCGCACTATTGCAGACTCGTACCCAGTCGCTATTTACGAGTTTTGGGGGTCCCGCCTCTTCCTTTAACTCCCCACGCGCTGCACTCAATCCAGACCGCTTTCGCTTGGAAACAGTCGTAATAGCGACTGGGTAAGGGTATGGCACTATACTGCAGGCTAGAGAGTTCATATGGGAAAATTTCATCCCGGTCACCGAAATCTCGGTCGCAAAAACCGAGATCTCGGCGACCGGGCCAGCCCGGCCTCTCATATGAACACATCGAAATTTTTGCGAAGGAAGGAGTGGCGAGGCGAGATCTCGGAAACCGAGCCAGCCCGGTTGACCGGGCTCATATGAATAGGCCCTTAGAAACACAACAACAGATCTTTAGTTTAACAGACCTATGAGGGAACACTTTACGTTTTCAAAAAAATTTAGCATGGCAATTCCCTAGACTTCATTTATTCTAATTATTCTAATGTTGATTTCTGGATTGATTTAATAGGTAAACTGGGTATAATACAATTCTTTTGATCACTGTCGGATGCGATGCGAAGATTAAAACACTTTCATTGGGATATTTCTTCCAGTTTACTTTTGCTACGAAACGATTTAAAGTTTGTATCGAATCGACCTTAGATGTATATCGAAATGACTTTGTATCGAAACGACCGGATGCCGGTTCCACTGGAGCCAGTTCCCAATTTCCCATGGTAACGAAACTCGGCATATACAAATTTGATGGTGCTGGGACCGAATTTAGCGTTAAAAATAGTTCCCGGAACAGTTTCCAATGCAAATTTTGGCTTAAAGTATAGCGCCCCAGGATACGATATTGCGGTTTCAGAACTGGAGAACACTAACTTTACTATATTGCACTGTAATTGAGTTCTGATCTGCCCAAAAAATCCAGCAAATCGATTTTAAAACCAGACAAAGGTGTTGAAAAGCGTACACGGACAAACTTGGACTTTTCCGGCTCAACGTGTTGAAATCAAAGGGACCGATATACTGTCAACAGTTTATGCACAGCGTGAGATTACAGTCAAACCAAGTGAAGCGTACCCCTCAAGATTCCATTAATAAATTGATTATTTGAATATTGAACCCACTGGTCGTTTCAAGAATGCAATAAAGAATTGATTTTTTAAATATTGAACTCCCTTGTCATTCCAAAAATCTATATTAATTTTTTTTTTTTTACCCGTACCATTCTTGTAACGACTAGTAAGTTCAATTTTCCAATAGTTAATTGATTATTGCATTCTTGAAACGACTAGCGGGTCCAATATTCAAATAACCAATTCATTAATTTAATCTTGAGGGGTACGCTTCACTTGGTTTGACTGTAGTCTGACGCAGCGCAGTTGCAACAGACAGTGAACTCCCCGGCGCATTGAAAGCACAACTCCATTTCGGAGCGGACATTGATTACTTCGAGAAACTTTCTAATTACTCTTCCGGCGCTGGGGTGGTTAAACTAAACAAAGGAATTAAGGTAAGAGAGCTTTTCGAAGATGCAGTTTTTAACTAAACCAGTTTGGCTATTGTAACCTAGCCGGTACAGCAAATGCACGAATGCTTGAGATACTGATAGAGTTATCTACGCTACTCTCAAATAAAAGGTCAATTAAGAGCGCTTCTCAGGAATTTTCACCTAAGACCATGCAAGATAGAAAAATCGAAAATTGCCAAACTTTGTCGCAATAAAGAACTACTAAAACCATTTGCAGAAAAAACATGTTTCGGTTTGTTTGGATGATTATTTAAGCTTTACAGTGACTTTTTAACGGGACGGCCATAGGCCGAGCGCGGTTCTTCTGCCAAATCGTTAGCGGGAATTCGAATCACGAAACTTATGATCTTTATTGGCCAAAAGTTGTTGAAACATTAATACACGGAAAATGTTACGGACATGGTTTTCTTCATTGTGTGTAAAACAGATTTTCTTTTGGTTTTATCAAAGCGTTGCATTCGAAGGGAATATTAAATCCGCTAAAACAAGGTATTGTGTCAGCCATGGGAATGCGCTGGCATTGCAGCTTTCACTTTCGCTACGTGACAAATAAGATCGTGCTTACTTAATTTCGCCAGAAGCGAGGGTCATTAATTGATTTGCAATTTTGCGAGTATTTCTTGTGGGTTTAGGCAAGGATAAGAAAGCTTCTCAGGGGGTTTAAGTAAGGATAAATTGTTATAGCTTTCTGATCACTTATTGTTGTTGCGATTTGTCTATGTTAGTTTTCTATGTATTTTGCATTTTATCCCAGGCAGTTTATTCAAAATAAGGAATCTAGCATTTTGTATAAACTGGTCTAATTACTCAGATGTCTCCTTTTTATACTTGTATATATATTTAATTCTTTGTTTTTGTTTTCGTTTTGATCGTCTGTGAAATTGAAATTGAGTAAATAAATAAATAAATTGAAGTGAATTCTTGGGCTGTTTCATCGAAGCGAGTAAAAAGATTTGAAAGAAATTTAAATATTTGTTGACAAGAGCTTGCCAGAACCTGCAGCGTTTATGTCAATGCTAGGGGAAAAAAACACAACCGCCCTAAAATCAGTAATAATGATAATAATAATAATAATAATAATAATAATAATAACTGGCATTTTTTTTGTATATAGCTTTACATATCATGATAAAAGTATAAAAGTTTATATCACAATTAAAAAATAAAATATGCTATAACAAGGCAAAAAAGAATGTAAAATTTAAAAGTAGACACCGAAAGTGTTTAGACTTTCCATTTAAAAAACAAAATCATAATTAGATATCATACGCTTTTTCAAACAAAAATGTCTGGAGCTGTCTTTTAAAAGAGTTTACGTTTGGCGCCATCTGAATATGTTTCGGAAGCTTGTTCCACCTTGATGGCCCAGCATTGGTAAATGTACAATCACCAAAGATCTTAAACGTTGTTCGAGGTGCTGCTAACAAAGGAAGATCATTTGATCGTAGAGAGCTTCTAGAAGATGACTTTTTTGTAATAAGATCCGAATTGTAATTTGGAACCATACCGTTTAACGCCTTGAACACAAATAATAAAACTGTAAACGTGATACTGGAGTCAACAGGTAGCCAATGAAGGTCAATTAAGAAAGGCGCGATGTGATCAAATTTTACCCTTCTAAACCAATATTTACCCAATGTTATATTATATATAATACGTATCTATATGCCCAATATTACCCTACTTACTCATCCTTTCCATGGCAAGAAGCATATAAGGAATTGAACTGTAGGTAGTTTCAAAAAAGAAAGCCATTCAGTAGCCCAATTCAAGATCATATGTAATCTTCATTGTTTAGACAAAGTTTACTTAATTATGGTGTACACTTGTGTCATTCAAACGTAATTTGA